CCCTTTTGTGGTCTGGTTCCTTGCCTCTCCTTTGGAAAGGAATAGCTACCCACAGCTTGGAAATGTCATATGAGAGCGTGTGAGAGGGTGTGTGTGAGAGAGAGTGTGTGGGTGAATGTGAGAGTGTGTGTGTAAGAGTGTGGGTGTGAGTGTGGGTGGGTGTGAGTGTGGATGAGTGTGGGTGAGTGCGTGTGTGTGTGTGTGTGTGTGAGAGTGTGACTGAGTGTGTGTGAGTGTGAGTGTGGTTAACGTGTCTCTGAGGTCCCAGGACAACCAGCCCACTGCCTCTGGACCAGTGGGACGTCGGGAGCTGTCCAGTGCCTGACGGGAGCATGACACCGTGGACACACCCTGGGGGCGGGCGCGAGGGAGCTCTGTCCCCAGGCCGGCAGTTCGTTTGCTCTGTGCTTTGATCTGGAGTGCAGGTCCTTAAAAAAGAAAGGCCCAGGTGCCAGGCGCTGTGCTGGACACTTTTACATTTTTTAAAAAAAAAATTCTTGCCACCCAACAATAGTGTGGGTGGTCTTGTCCCCATTTTAGAGACGAGAAAACTGCGTGCAGGGAGGTGAGCTGCTTGCTCAGCATCAGAGGAGTCAGGGACCCGCGGGGAGACCACGTGGCCTGTGGCCCCGGCCTGGGCTGTGCCCGCCTCCACCTCTTCTCCTGTCCCCTTGGGGGTGTCAGATTAGGCTGCATGAGTCGGGGGGGACACAGGCCTCGTGTCATTGGGTGGCCTGTGACCTCGGGCAGGCCGTGCTGCAGCCAGGCCTCTGGCTCTCACATCTGTGAAATGGGACCGCAGTGCCCGCGTGGAGTGCTGTAGGCTTAGAGAGAAGTTGGCTGAAGCATCGGGAAGGTGCCAGACCCCAAGGAGTTTCATCGGCCGTGGCCCTTGCGTCACTGGTGTGTGGCACCGTGTTCAGCTCTCCCCGTGACTGTCCTGAAGCCTGTGGTGCGAGCGGGAGGTCCGCTGGGCTCGCTGGGACCTGAGCCACTTCACTGGCCACGTGGTGCTTGACCTGAGCTACGGAGGCCGGAGAGGGCTCAGGTCAGACTCCCAGCTGATACGCACCAGAGGGCCCGGGGGGACCTTGGAGATTGTCGGTTCTTATTTCATTTCAAGGTAGAAACACACCACTGTGGGAGGTGAGACACTTTCTTGTTGTGTAGGTTGCTTATCCGGGTTGTATAGTCAGGGTTTTGGCTTTATGGTCTCCTGGAGGAAAGTAGGGGTAGCTGCCAATTGCTGGAAGGGCCAGGGAGGCAGAGGGAGATGCTGCCAGCGTGAGGATGTCGCCGCGCAGGCTCCCCGTAGTGGCGCCCGCCGACCGCCGTCTTCTGCGTCTGCTCCTTGCTGTCGCCCACTGAGCGCGGCTCCTGTCACCAGCGGACCTTCCTGAGGTCTGTTCGTGTGGGGAGGTCGGACCCTGCCTTGGGGAACGTCCAGGCTTCGGCGGCTAGCGGGGCCCTTCTTGCTCGTGTGAATAGAGTCCCTGCTGCCGGCCACAGCGTTACTGAGCACTGACTGCCGGGCACCGCTCGCGATCGCCCTGAACAAGACGAAGAGGCCTGCGGTTGGAGCTCGTGTCCTTGCATGGGACACGGACAGTGTTCGGTGGACAGAACGAGTCCGCGTCGAGCACTGTGGCGGGAGGCGCGGGGCACCGGGTAGGTGTCACAGAGTCACATTCGCACCCAGATTTGAGGGAGACGGAGTCGGTCAGGCGGGTATCTGGGGCAAGAATGTCCCCGCAGAAGGGCCGTCAGGGTTGGCAGGTGTGTGCAGGGAACAGCGAGGAAGCCGGTGTCGCTGGAGAGAGGTGACGAAGGGGGTGTTTGCGGCGTGGCCACGGACTTGAGGAAGCCTCACGTTAAGGGATGGCCACTCTGGACCTCAGTCAGGAAGCTGAAGTTTCAGTTTTTTCTTTTTTTGATGCCATGAGGATACATCCAGTGGACGACCGAGGGGACCAAGGTGACTGGCAGTGCCGTCCGTCGGCTGGCTCTAGGGCCTGGTTACTCTGGAATCCGACAGTTTCCTTAAAACTGTTTCAGAAACCATTTCAGCAACAATGTGGCAAAGCGCCCATCGGTGACTCTCAGGATGGATACAAGGTTTCTGATCGTGTCTGTCTTTTCCTGTTTGGAATATTCACCATCAAAACAAATGTATCCGTCTATTAGAAGAAAGGTCAACTGGAAGCAACACTGTTGACAGTGATTGTCTGAGGTTTTGGCTTTGAAAAAGTGGAAAGGGGAGCGTGGTCGTGCAGAAGCGCCCTGGGTGCTGGGAACTCACCTGTTAGAGCCCGAGCCTGCGCAGAGCCGGGTGAGGACGGCGGGCGCAGGTGGTAGGGTCACAGGGAGTTTCCCTGTCTCGGGACATTGTAACGACCCATAAAATGAGTTATTGAAGGAAAAACTGTAAGGCTAATGAAATTGGGGCCACGAAAAGTTTCTGTTTACTTGAGCTCTGGAGTTCAGGGTAATGAAAAAACTGGGTGGCGGGTCATTTTTTAGGGAGTGCCGCCTGCGGAGGGAGACGGCTTGTTCCCAACGCTCGGTGTCCCCGGCGCTCCTGGCGTTCCCCGGCCACGGAGCTGCTGAGGTTTCATTTCCGAGGCCGCGGCCGCGATAGGGACAAGGAAACTTCTGCTTCCACTTCCTGAGAACAGTTTGTCAACTTGAGAAGAAACAGAGTAGCCTGGAGACGTGTTCATCAAAGGAGGAAACAGCCTCGAGAGCCTGGAAGGGACAGTCGTTCACGCTGAAGACCGAGGACGGCCGCCGGCCCCATTTCACGTTACTTACTTGGGTGGGAAAGCTGTCGTCCGGCATCAGCGTTCGTTCCCCGCCTGGCGAGTAAACACCAGCGAGGCGGCTGCAGGGGCACCCGGTTATCGTTAGATGTGGGGCATCGAACGCCTTCCCCCTGCTCGCCCTGCGACAGTGGCTCTCACGCTCTGGCCCCTGGACCAGCAGCCTCACCTGGAAACTTGTTAGAAATTCAGATTCTTAGGCCCCCCCCGAGACTCGGGGGCCCAGTAGTCTGTACTTTAAAAACAAATTGTAAACTATACATAAAATTTCAACCGCTTCCAGGTGTACCGTTCAGTGGCTTTAAGCACGTTCACCGAGCGGTGCCCCGTTTCACTGCTGTACGTCCGTCATCACCATCATCCCCAGAACTGTCTCATCCCCAGACTCACCCC